GTTCTTGTCTGAAGCTTCATCGGCGACTTCGTTCATTTTTCTTTTATTCCAAAGCAATTTAGTGTTAATATCGTTATCGTGCTGTCCACCAGCTTATTCATAAATTGTGGCTCTAGGAACCGTTTATAGAAGAACCATTACGCTATTTCACACTTAAATCACTATCTCGAGATCTCTCACTCACAGTAAGAACGATAAGGCAGAAAACTATTTGTTTTGGCACCAAAAAATCAGGATAGCTATCACTTATACTAATTCCTACTGCCACGAGTTTTGGCTGCTTTTACTCCCTTTTTGCGGTGCTTTCATATGGCCAAACCTCTCAAAGGTGGAGCAATGCCGGCATGAAAGCCGTATTGTTGTCCGAGTGTTTGTGGGCTACTGTAATGTACTACTGGAATGCTTCGCCTATGCACCTGCCCCATGTAGTTAGTTTTCATGTACCATTCATCTGCGAGGAATTCGTTGAGGTGAGCCAATGACAAAGAATCCGAATTGGCATGGAAACGCTCTACGGGAATGATACAAATGCAAATTACGGGGGGAAGGGCAGAGCAGAGCAGGGTGGAAGAAAAAAGCTAATGGAAAATAAGACGGTAGCAGAGCAATTATCTACATAATCTGCCCCGATAGATATTTCTGAAGCTTTTAATTTTACCATGGAATTCGTTGCTTTGTGGTAATTAGATGGGAATCCTAAGGGAAGGAACGCTATAAATTAGAAAATGAATCAGAATAGCAGATTTCTGTAGTCAGCTTTCTCCTGGAAGACTATCGCCTACACCCTTCATGTTGGCTTTATTATGAAATGAAAAGTGACATAATCAAGTCTGTCATTCTACCTGCACCTGTATTTATATATTATTTCTGTGATATTCCATTTCATTCTGCCATTAGACAAATTCTATTTCTAACAGGATCACTGTGATCTCCTCTTTTTTCCTTTCATTTTTGTAAGATCGAATTGACGTCTCGCATTCATATCATACTGCAGGGCTCTTATCAGAACCGCATTCCGCGATTACTGAGGTGTGCGGTGCGGCAGAAATGATGTGCTGTTTTAGCTTTTCCTAACACAATGAAGGAAGGGTGATGAAAGGCCCCAGTAGATAGATTGATTTCGCCCCTATGCTCAACCTATAATATGCTTTCATAGGAAAAGCTTACACCTCACTAGTGCCAATTATTGGCATATTATTGACATAATTGGCACTAGTGGGGTGTAAGCGGATAGGTTACAAACTAGAGCTTTGAACCAATTTTAGGTCTTGAAAATGACGATTTGTTCGAAACGTCGACCAATAAAGTATTCCACTTTAACAATGCCGAGCGAAGTTTTCTGTAGAGCTGACAATGCTCTTCCAAATGTTATATGGCTTAGCCTAAAAACTTGGTTATATAGGAAAAATTCTATTTGAAAAAGCGACACTACTTATGGGATAACCTGATAGACTGGGTGACTGGAAGTGACAACAGATAATAAAAGAAGATAAGAAGTCAGAATACAGAAGTTGCCACGCAGCCTCCGTTGACGCTGGAGAATTCTCACTTACAGAATTACACCCAAAGCTTTTCTTACTTACAAGTGTCATGTGAGTGATACTGGGACATTGCAGATGGGTAACTGAAAGTGGTAACAACTGGTAGAGGATGAGAAGGGCCTAAAAACACCATGGTAGCCATTCCGTTGCGCAGCTCATTTTGACGCTGATGTTCTTGCCTACAAGTGTTGCTTGAGCTGTGACGGGGACATTGTGTCGATAGAACCAGTATGTATGGCTTGAGCAACTTACTTGGCGAGTGATACATTGCATACTTAACCTGCTACCAAGAGGGGCAGAACTCATTAAACCGCAGAACTTCAAGATTCCCAAACATTGTGAATTTGAACCAATCACAAGCGCTTGGTGCTCATTTATTATCAAGTTTCATTTTATTTTGATGCATGATACCACACGATTGGGTTATACGACTAACATATCCAATAATGAGGTGCTTTGTGGCATAAGTCAGCTGATGTTCGGCCCTTCAGTTTCGTTGAGGATAATCGTGTGAAGCGTGCGATAGCGGGCGGAGCAAAACTGGTATATAGTACTTATATATGCAGTAATGTGATGAGAAATACTAGCGTGCAGAGCTTCAGACAGATTCCGAAAATAGGCAAAAAATAGACAAATTTCTGAAACTACTCTTTGTCGGACAGTTCACGGCCATGTATCAGGTGACGCACGAATCTTGTATCCAAGTACAACTTTGTGATAAGCTCATTCAGAAAAGCCATTTTTGATTATTGGATCTTTCCATGATAGGTGAATCACTTCGGCTATTTTCTGATTTTAATTTCTTTTGTTGTTTATCTTACTCACCTCGATTGCATGCGAAATATAGCATACGCATGGGGAGCTAGTCGCTACTTTTACTCTAGAAGTCCATGGACTTTTGATCAAAGAAAAATCGGATCTTTTTTGAGACCTTGTCACTTGGTGTAAAATTTCTTCCCGAGAAGGGTGTTAGAGATCAGAGTAGGTGATCGTTTGCTGGCAGAAGCTTAGCGCTACACGGCAGTGCTAAAAAATTTGTTAGCACGAGTCTCTCTTTTTCAGTGAATCCGCTCCACAAGATAGGGTCGGACAATCTCACAATCAGAAGAAACACCGATTATTTTCTTGTTGCTTCCAATTAGGAGACGTCACTGTTACGTTGCCTCCACCTTTGATCCTGGTATTACTAAGTGTGGTTCCCAGCGCGAAGCCCCGATCGTGTTCCACCAGTAATCTCAGAAGGATCAAACAATAAAGAAAAAAGGAGAAGAATAAGTGAAAAGTGCAATTCTCGTCTTCTTTACAACGTATATTATGGCTACTATTATATACGTTACTTTGACTACTTTGATCAGTCCTTCAGCTGGCGATCTTCTCAGCGGGGACCACAGCTCTTCCATGCTTCCCGATTTCTGGCAACTTGCATCCAATGTATGTCACGTTGTCTGAAATATTTTGAAAACGAGTCGGCCCACCGGGTTTGCGGCCGCCCTAGCGGTCTTTTCTTGTTTCTTGGGAGCCATTCTGTGACTCGGAGGCTCCATCTATCGTCATCTCGGCGAAGTAAATGACCAGCCCAACGGTGTTTTGATTGTGCCATGTATTGTAGAGGATCTCTCAGATGTGACCTCTCCCTCAATTCTGAACTTCGCAGGCTTTGTCTCCTGCGTGGTCCGAATGTCGTTCAAAAGAATAATTTCAGAAAGAGGCCTTTCTAGGCTCTACGGTATAGTATTATTTGCATTGCTTCTGGCTATTTTCTTGTCTGCTCATCGTTTCTAGTGCATAACACATGCTGCTAACACCCCGTAGCATGTTTGATCAGAGATTCTGTGAGTCGGTGCTTGGTCTTTATTTGGTCCGGGTTATCCCTCGAATAAAAATCGAAGTTCAAAGGCTCCATGCTGCACGTCTCCTTCGATTTATGTTCATGCTGAGCAAATTATCGTTCGTCATGTTCAGTTCTCTTCCCAGATACACGTAGGATTCCACTCTTTCCAGAGTTTTTCCTGCTAGTTTGATTGTACCTGTGTTACACCACTGGTTCACCATCACTTGCGTTTTGGACATATTCATTTCTAAGCCGATCTTCAAGCCTTCCAGATTTAGTTCGTTGACCATTTCTTCCATCTCGATTGTATTGGTTGGATATCAAAACTGATATTCGTCGGCAAGCGGAGCGATTATTCAGGTCTTCTTTCATCAAGAGGACCGCATTTGTCCTTCCAATCATACGGTTTGACATTGCGATACATTGTAGTAGCTAGCCGTGGAATAGTTTCGTGAGATCTATCGTGTTCTCTTGCGTCTCCTTATGCGATGGTGCAGTATTATTCTTCCGCCTCGAACAGTAGTTGATAGTGTGATGGATGTATTTGTGAAGCATTGCTCGAGTAGATGGATGTAGGCAGGGGAAGTTCCGGCTTGTGTGAGGGCATTCAAGACAGCGTTAACCTCTACAGAATCGAATGCTTTCTTATAGTCAACGAATACAAGGACCAATGGAAGGTGATATTCGTGGCTCCTCTCAATAAGCTGAGTGATCGCTTGAATGTTGTCCATGCATGAAAAGTTCTTTCTGAACCCTGTCTGCTCTACTGGCTGGTATTCGTCCAAGATGCACTCCATGCGGTTAAGCAATATTTTCGTGAACGTTTTGTATACCACTGAGAGTAGGCTGATGGGTCTGTAATTGGCGATATCTTCCCGCTGGCCTTTCTTGAACAGAAGAACTGTTCTTGATCCTTTCCACTGTTCTGGAATCTTTCGTAACCTGAGGTAATGGTTGAAGTGTTTCGCGAGTAAGGTCCAGAGAGCTGTGTTTCCGCTGGCGCGAAGTAGATCCGCAGAGACGTTGTCTGGCCCCGGGGCAGTTCCTTTTTTCATGCTCCGTATCGCTTTCGCAACCTCAGACTCCAGAATATTAGGTGGATCTTCAGCAGGCGGTATCGGACTTCGCAGGACAGTTGTGGTTGAGCGAAAAAGGTCCGTGTAGAAATTGCTAACTATATCCTCCATTTCTCTTCTTGACGTACGTATTCGCTTTTCCTTGTCCATGAGTGCGCTTAGTCTGACAACCTCTCTCTTGTCAATTGAGTATTCTGCGTTTTGAACGTTGAGGGATCTGCTGAAGTCTTTCTGTCCCTCTTCTAGTAGTTTAGTTCCTTCTGTTACGGCTCGCATATGTGGACTCTTTGGCACAGCTAGTGGCAGCCAGGGTTTTGCCCTTTAACAACGAATCTTTCTTAGATGATATGGACAGATGCGATCTTGTTTCAAAGCTGCGTGCGGTTTCAGACCCAGCTTACGACGGCTCTCTCTAGTGCGTCTGATTCCAATCGTGGCCCATTAGTAGAAATGAATTCTTGCTGTGAGCATGGGCGGGTAGACTGGTCTTGCAATTTAAGTAGTGCCGTGGCCAATAGGGAAAGATTGATTATAATTCTCTCCTGACTTGCCGCGGCTACATAACCTGGATAAGATTCAGTCGTTGCTTCAATGGCAGCTTCTAGTCTAACTCGGCGAGCGTCAGATGAGGGAGATTTGAAACCGGTGGTGGTGGTCTATGGTTATCAGCTGTTTGAAGATTTTCTGTTTAGATCGTTATGCTGCGCACGTAGTTCAGGAGGCGTATAGTCTACCCAAGTATCAAATGAAGTTGTAGCCACCGGAAACACGGTAATAAGCCAAACTGCGCTTAACAGAATCGACTTGGGTAAAATGTGATGTCTATCTCGATGTGACAATTGTCCATTTGGGCTTTCCCAGGTCCATCGCCGTCTTTGTGGCTTCTCAAACATCGAATTTCCATGAAAAAGGTGACATGCGGACAAAAGATCCAGCAGATGTTCTCCGTTTTCATTTCTCTCGGTGCAGCCATGAGGCCCAAGCCTCCAATCGCCCCTGTGGTTTGTGCCGATCACTGCGTTGAAATCGCCGACAACATATTTATAGTACGTCCTCTCTTCTCGAATGGTCTCTTCCAGTAATTCATAGAATTCGTCGCGGGGCGTTTTTTTCTTTTGTTCATTTTCTTCGTTTGTGGCCGCGGACGTTGGTGCATATCCGTTGATAATAGATATTACATTTTGTTCCATGGCCTTTGGCCGGATTCGAAGGACAGCGATACGCGGACTGACGATTCGATGAGAGTCCACTAGACTTGCAACTGTCGAGTTCACAAGAAATCCAACGCCACCAATATTCATGCTTTCCATCTTAGCTCCAATGATGAGCAGCTCATTGAGATCGGTTTTCTTGATGGTTTCCATTCTGCCTTTCGTTTCTTGAAGTGCGATGACATCGTATCTGATTTGTCGGCTCCTTAGCAAGAGTGTCTGAAGATCAGCTTCTGATGCTATGGTGCGACAATTGTACGAGCAAACGAAGAGGCAGTCCTTGTGTCGTGGTTTGCGAGAGGTTCCTAAGTTCCGATTCCAATGACGTCCTGTTTCCCTTGCGAGATTAGATGGCCCCTCACCAGTAGAGGCTTCCCCCGACGCCGTAGGGGAGCATTCCCGGTGTGCGCAGGACTGGGGCACAGTTATAGCTGTTTGAGCAACTTGTTTGGCTTGGTCTCTCTGGTTCCTTGCTAGGGATACAAGAGAGCCGCCCATACACATATAAAAGATGCGTACTGCGTAGCCGTTTGTACCGTTGGCCACCACATTGTGGTGTACACCCTATCACCGCGATGAGGTGGTACATGATAGGGCACCTAGCGTACTTAATTATTAGATATATATAATTCAGTACTTCTAGTCATATATAAAAAGCAGAGTTTGATGTAGTGATGTTTGCCTGTCTGTTCTGTATAGCCAGTAGGCGACCACGTTACGGTGGACGTAGCAGAAGAAGCAGTTTGGGGCATGGTCCCAGATGGGTGTGGCATGGTCCCGAATAGGTAGGAGGGTGTAGGGTGAAGGCAAGGCTTGGTTAGAAAGGGTACGGTAGTGGGCGGAGTCCGACCAGGTGGGCGGAACTTACGCTGGGATCTCCGTAGAAAATATAGGTTTTTGTGCAGAGGCTCGAATTGCTAAGCGAATCACAATATTGATTGGGTAGTGTCGTAGGAGTTGGATTTTAGATGGGTCACATGTTATCGATCGATATCGATTGAAAATATCGGTTTTTGTGCAGAGTGCTCGAATAAGTTTGGAAATCACACTATTGATTGGGGCCTGTACTGATAATGAAGAATTTCATCGGTTTCGGTTTTTGTGCAGAGTGCTCGAATAAGTTCGGAAATCACACTATTGATTGGGGCCTGTACTGATAATGGAAATTTTATCGGTTCACATGCTATCGATCGATATCGACTGAAAATATCGATTTTTGTCTGGGAGGCTCAGACTTGCTTACTAATCACACTATAGATTGATTGCAACAATCAAAATTCAATTGAGTCACGCGGTATCAATCAATATCCATCATAAATATCGGCTTTTATCAAGCAGGCTCGGGAAGACGTCTAGAAGCGAATTATGGGGTTTTGTGGCAAACTCCGCCAACATAGGCATATTTCTTATTATTTTTATATTTTTATTTTTATTATTTTTTACTACGGCTCAATAGCCCTTCTCATACCAGAGTTATGAGCTTCTCTTTTTGAGAAACACTACTTCAGAGAACGCTCCGCCCACAACGGGCGGGTCTCCCAGATTCGACTTTTCAACTCAGTGCACACCTTTATCCATTTTTTTCGGTCTTTTGGCTGCACCTATACCCAAACTCAAGACTTCTGCCGTCGGCAGCTCCTAATTCGACGCATGCCCCGCCCACTGTGGGCGGAGTTTCCCATGGTCCATGTCTGCCCCGTGTAGCCTGACTCATTCTCTACCCATCCCAAACTTGACCTGGACTCTGAAGGTGGTTCCTTAGATAGTACCTAATTTTTTTCAAATAGACACACAAAGGCTTAGCGCCCTCCACTCTATCCACTCTATATATAAAGCAGAAGTTTGGTGTGTTTGTCTGTCTGTCACCGCTAGGGGGGGTATCCAGTTTATCTCCACTCCTCGGCCTTCGCCCCTCTCAATATGTGTAAGGTGACATAAGGTGGTGCATAAGGAGGTGACTACTTCTTGTGAGAAAAATTGCGCTTTTCAGAGCCTTAGAATGGCAAAGCACTATTTCACATACTTCAATCGCACCGATGCTGTATTGAATGGCTATTGGCGGGTATGCAAGATAATTATGCTGACTGAAATTGTACTCCTGATAATAAGGTGAGTTTCCGTGACATACAACAAAAATGGAAGCGTTTTATATGAATGTGCGATAAGTTAGTGGTTTATTTCGCACACGGCAAATCCGCAAGGTAGACTAACTTTTCACTGTGGTCATTTCATTGACTGTCACAACAACACAGCGCAAGCCCAAGCACCAACCCACTCATTTTTTGTGAAATCCACCCGACCCCACTTTTCGGCTCCTTGTGAAAGCGTGTGCAAACAGAATTTTGGAAGCCAGGAAGGACCTTATTGGCGCGCACATAAATACTGCCACAAAAGCTATCAAGAGTTACTGTAATAAAATTTAAAATTTGTAGGTTACGTGGTGAGAGACGTTAGGTGGAATTAGGAAGTCGTAATGCTTTGGCAGAGTCGTAGTCTTCATGAACCGATACGTGCAAAAGGAGTTGGGAACGGGCCATACATATTCGATCTTCTTTCATGTATCATATAGTGAATTATTCAATATTTCAGCATTTTATACTCCATGTTAGCAATTCACATGATGCTAAAAACTATGCGGCATCAGAAGAATATCCGGAATATCTGGACATGGTGCACTTTTCTATACCTTGTCAGCGC